TACAATCCTCTGAAGCTTGGCATTTAACTGCAGTCAATTTCAGCATGTGAAGTACTAAAGTTAAATTACTAGTATCAATTCTTGCACTCATTTAACCTATAAAGCCATGGAAATTAGTAATTAATTATTGCTGATTGAAATGCCATCTCTTCTCTGTTGCTTTAAAAACTACCTTATGACTATTAAGTATGTGCATGTAATAAAGCCATGTCATTTTGCTACTATATGCCAAGTCCACATTAGACAAGATACTATGGTTTTTTCCATAATGCAGAGATGGCATAAGCCATTGAATCTAACACCTTACTGGAGAAGAAAAGCCACCTGGCTCAACTATGAGCCATGGAGGTACAGTTTTGGTTACTATGTTCCTGTTTATCACCAAATCTCTTCCAGAATCCAAGAGAGGATTTATAACTGGTCCAATGATATTTTTTTTAAAGATTTTATTTATTTGACAAAGATCACAAGTAGGCAAAGCAGCAGGCAGAGGGAGAGGGGGATGCAGACTCCCTGCTAAGCAGAGAGCCCAACACGGGGCTTGATCCCATGATTCTGAGACCATGACCTGAGCCAAAGGCAGAGGCTTAATCCACCCAGGCACCCCATAATGATATTTTTTTGTATTGCAATTTTGCTTTTATCTTATTCTACTTACTAGTTAATAGAAAACAATGGTGCTATGTTTTCCAAGAAGTTTTTGCTATCTTAAGGTAATCTGAAAATCGATTAGAGAGGCACAAAAGAATCAACCTACTCTAGACTACATTACAGTCTTATTTCACCTACTCAGCTTTCAGATTTCTAAAAATCTCAACCACTTGCACATTATAAAATAGGAAGCAAGTAAAACAAAATGAGAAATTCTTTTGAGTAATGACTATTTAAAAAGCCAGCTACTGGGGCACCTGGGTGGCTCAGTGGGTTAAAGCCTCTGCCTTTGGCTCAAGTCTCGATCCCAGGGTTCTGGGATCAAGCCCCACATCAGGCTCTCTGCTCAGCAGGGAGCCTGCTTCCTCCTCTCTCTGCCTGCCTCTCTGCCTACTTGTGATCTCTGTCAAATAAATGAATAAAATCTTAAAAAAAAAAAAAAAAAGCCAGCTACTTTTTCAAAGGAAATCATTCTTGAAAACTCATTTCAAGAAAAAAAACAAACAAACAGAACTTGGGTAAAAGTGAAGTTTAAAATTCTAGTTATGGGGTTATCTTTTTGTTCCAGAAAACCCTGCTTAATTTTTTTTTCCATTCTACAGCAAATTAATGTTTAGAAGCTAGGTGGGAGAAAGCCACTCAATGCACTGTGAATAAATGTGGTTTATTAACACAGGCACTGCCACAGAAGATAGATGTAAAGCAGACAAGCATAATATAAAAGCACCACATAGCCTAAGACTGATTCCCCTATCCACATCCAGACCACTGAGAGTACCACCATACTATAGCAACATAAAAAAAATAAATGTTCACAATCTCTCAGTAATTAGGAAAAGGTTAACATGCTAAAGACAGTGTTTTAAACACATGAAGTACTTAATACTTCTAGAAGACTCTTCAATAAAATGGCATTTTAAATATTTCTGGTCTCATTTAATGGCTTAAAATTGCTTAAAAAGGGCACCTGGGTGGCTCATTTGTTTAAGCATCTGCCTTCGGCTCAGGTCATGATCCCAAGGGTCCTGGGATCCAGCCAGCTCTCCCTGCCTCTCCCCGTTTGTGCTCTCTCTGTGTCAAATAAAGAAATATCTTAAAAAAGAAAAAAAAAAAGTTGCTTAAAGAACAAACTAGCTTATAAAGAGGTATCAAGAATTAGTTTCTGATGACAAAATTCTTCATTAGAAACTTTACATCCAAAGATAAAAATAACATAGAAAGTCTAAAATGCCAGGTTATGCAAATTTATAATACAAAGAAAAAAGCAGACCTCTTACAGATCTGCTCTTGGATTCTGGAAGAGATTTGGTAATAAAAGAATACAGGAACCAAACTGCCTCCACAAATCTAAAATGAGCTAATAGACCTTCTTTTCCAAAACCCTCCTCAATATGCTTCATCCTCAAGGAAAAGTTTAACTTCACAGATATCTAAGCCAGCTTTATATATTTTGCAAAGGCGACCCAAATTCTCACAAAATCTTGTTTTTAAGATTTTAACTTATTTGAGAGAGAGAGAGAGTGTAAGTGAGCACGGGGGCGGGGGCTAGGCAGAGAGGGAAAGAGAATCTCAAGGAGACTCCACACTTAGTGCAGAGCCTGACACAGGGCTCGATCTCAAGCTTGATGTCATAATCCTGAAATCCTGACCTGAGCTGAAAATGAATCAGATGCTTAAGCAACTGAGCCACCTAGGCACCCCATAAAATCTTGTTTTCGTCTCAAATTCTGTATAGGCAAAATTCCCTTACATTCCACTAATAGTATTAAAGATAAAACATGTATGAGGTCAATTAACGACCAAAACAATATTAATCATAATCCTTCACTAATTTATACTAGATGCTATTAATATTTAACTTAAATTTACAACCCCATTTTGAGTAATTTATTTAATTTAATGTAATTTATTTACTTAAATTGTTATGGATCTAAAAGTACATATGCAAATTACTAATTTATAGAAACACTATAATTATGTAGTTAAATTTTAAAAAGACTTTCAAAACATCTGAAAAACTTGATTTCTTAAAAGAATTGTTTTTAGTGCATAAACAATGAATTTTAGAACATAAAAAAATTAAATTTTTAAAAGAAGTGTTTTAGGTCAGCTTACTTTTAACTTCCGCTTAATACGACAAACTTACTTTTAATTAGCTGCTAGATATTATTCATTCAGATATTGTCAACATTTCTTTTCAGCACTTGACATAATGATGGGTTGAATAAACATGGTAGAACTCGGTATCAAATGTAAGCTTTTTTTTAATTCCCAAGCCTAGGCCACACACAAAAGCACTAAGCATTAAGGATCAAACATAAACATCCACAAGGGAGACAGCAGAAGCTAACAGGTATTGCAGACTACACTCACACTGTGACTTCAAGATTGAACAGAGCCCTCCAAATTTTAAAAGTTATCTGCTATAGTTTTGTAGTACAGATCTTGCATATACTTTGTTCCATGAACTCAATGTCAGTGCTACTCCTGTGATATATAAGAAAACTCAATGAAAGTAATCAAATACTAAGAATAAGATTTTCGTTGCATAGAGTTGAGTTTCTGAGGGCCACAAACCATTATCTAAGACTTTTTCTGCCTTCTGCCCCCCATGAACCAATCTGTGTCTGTTCTGAGACTGTATCACCCTCACTGTGAAAGCATGGAAAGAAAAAAGATAAAAGACTGTATCTTTTGGTAAATACAAGGAATAAATATTAGACTAATGATTTTGAATAAGATACGTCTTTGTTTTATCCAGTAAGTACATTTTATCATCTATGAAGGTTTTGTTCATTTGTTTGTTTGGTTTAAATCCAGTGGAATTTTCTTGAACAAGATATCACATTCCTTGAAGATGCTGCAAAAGTGAGGAATTACTATTACTAAGCATACAGTTTCAATACTCGTCATCTCTAACAAAGAGAAAATGCAAGGGGAGTAAGCAAAGAGGGATTTTATTGTGGAGAAGTGAAGAGAAAAATAGAGTGAGCTAGTTTATTTGCAGTCATAAGTCATAAATCTGATTTTAAACATAAAGACAGTATAATATTTTGATCTAGATATTGCTCCAAGACATTTTGACGTAACTTAAAAATTACAAATATTGTACTTACTCCCATTCTCTTTGTTGATATTCAGAGAGCCAATCAGTTTGCTTTCATAGCTTCTCCTGTATCTAAACTTTTATCAGTCTGACATCTGGTTTCTTAACTGCTACTTATTAGAAAAGAATCCATGACCAGATAAAATTCTTACTTTACACTTAACCGTCAAGTTTTTATTTTCCTGAGGAAAGAAGATGACTGCCACAGAAGAAACCAAAGGAGACTTTTGGGAGTGGATATTTGTAGAAGTACTCAAATATAATAATTTAAAGAGGAAAACTTACCCACATTACACAGGGCCTTTTTTTAAAAACTATTTCCCAAAGTTCCATCTTCCTTTGCCATCATATCCTCATTCGAACAACTCTAGAACCACATTATATAACAAACGGTCTGCTATAACTATGCAAGTCAGAGAATGCTCCAACCAAAACTTAATAGTACCTGGCAGAAACTCAACCAAGTAGTTCAGAAGAATTAGTTTTACCTCCAAGCTGGTAAAAGAAATCTTCTGAATATATACACAATAGAAACCAAACTTTTACAGTTGGACATAACTTGCAAAATATAAGGGGAGAGGTACCCTCAAATCACACATCATTGAGCACTCATTTGTTAAATATTTAGTAACAAAAGATGACTAGGCAAGATCGGACTTCATCACTCCTACATGAGAATTTATAAAAAAAACTCTGATAATCTCATATTCTGATCTAGTCAGATCATAGAAGAATCCTTACTTATCATTTATTATCAGGATATTTATAAAAATGTATTTGTTTTGAATAAAAATGTAATTAAAAAGAGTAAGGCATACTATTTTTACATCTTTTCCTTCTATAGTCTAGGGGCAAAGCTCTTAAGGAAAAAAACCCAAAATCCTTTGATGTGAACCTGACACCTTCTATATAAGCAAAAAGGAAAAAACATACTTGAAAAGTCCGAATTTTTTTGAATTTGGGGGACAAGGTAGATAGAGGGAGATATACTGTCTTCCAAGTAGGAAGTGTACAAGCTGACTAAACATTATTTTTTAGAGGATCATTTTAGATGAACATACAATAATTATTAAGATTATTTGAGGGACAAGTGGAAAATGAGAGCCAAGTTTTATAAAGATTAATTCAAGTGAACATATTTACAATGGAATTGGAAAATCCTTAGCTCCTTGGCTAAATTAAAGCAGTCATCTACTGCATCAGTGTGTATTTTCAAGCAAATACAGAAGCAAAACTCATTAGCTCTTTAAAAAATACACACATTTAATGTTGGTCTGTTTTAATTCTAAGTAAAGCAATTCCAAAAATACAAACTGAACATCAGAGCCATGTGGAACCACCATGATAAAATAAAACAGACATTCACAATAATTACGTCTAAAGACAGTTCAGCTTAATAAATCATCTTCCAGGTATACTAAAGAAAGAGTTACTAAAATACTGCTGGTGTTCAGTTAGAATTAAAGGACTTTGGGGAAAATGAAATAATATGATACAGGTGGAGTGAATAAGGTTACACGGGATTTACATTTTCCATTACCCCTAGATATAAACAAACATTCAAAATCAACACAAACTCTGTGTGTTATTCAAAATATTGCAGCTGCAGGAAAGGCAACTTTAAATTAATAGCTAGGGGAAAATCAAGTTTTGGTGGAGGTAAACAGAAGTGACAGTTTTTAATTTGCACTTTTGTAAAGCTCATTTATACCTGGCCAACCAGGAACCAAATGCAGGACAACGAAGTTCTCTGCTTCTTTTGGCTATAATGTGACAAGGAAAGGTCATCTTTTGAAGATGTTTAAAGAAATAAAGCAACTTTTTTTATAAACAGTCAAATAATCAATCAATGGAATAAATAAGTACTAACCCACATTTTTACCGCTCTGTAACCACTACACTTTACATATTTTTCATTTTGGCGGCAAATTCCCCAATTTTTAGGCAAAATCCACCAATCACTTTTAAGAGTAAAATGAATAGCCACCAAAATAAGAATATTCTTCTGTTTACTCTTTGGCTAAAAAAGAAAACAAACGAACAAAACAAAACAAAAAGAAACAGAAGACAACTCTAACACTGGTGATAAAAGAAACTGGTTTTTTACATGTAAAATAAAGTTATCAATTTAAATCTTGGTACATTTTATAAAAACAAGAGGTAATGTTGTAATAAAACAGTAGTAGCCTTGTCAGGCACCATACTGTTTGTTAACCCTGTGCAATAAAATACTTTGTTCATACTACACTTATTCAACATGACTAACAGTTACTACAGACATTTCAGGAATCTTCACGGGACTCCTACAGACTTACTGTTAAAACTGAGAGACATTTACAATCAAATGTGCCATGAAAACTTGAAAACGTTACTTCTAGTAGGAGATAATGTTCATATTATTTGAATTGGTTTTAGGTACTGAACAGCTGAGTTACAAGGACTGAAAGTGAAAAGCATTCTAAAAGCCCATGAACACTGTTGTTCACACCCTTCTTCAGAACACACTAAACTTTAAACTTGTCTGACACATTTCTCTTCATACATAGCAAGCAACAGCACCCAATAAAAGCCTGAGAAGAAATGCTGCTGTGTAAATACTGCAACTATTCCTGAAAAAAGAATTATGGGATATATACTCCAAAGCTGCCCATTCCCATAATTTGTATTGCATAGGTCACATAATCACACACATATATATACACACCTGTGTATATATATGCACATGCAAAGAATATATTAAGACGACAATGAAGTCTAGTCACAGAGCAATTTACAGGCTCAATATATTTTTTACACTTTGCTTGAAAGAAAATTTCAATATTTTACAGTCTTTTAGTAGGCATTATATACACTGCACTTTATGAAATCTGAAAGGTATTGAAATAAATTTTTTCCAACATTTTGGCAACAAAACAGACAACGTTTCTCCAAATACTTGTGCTATCTATCTACATGATCTGTCTGATCTGATAACCACTAATCACAAAAACTGACTCAATGGAATAATTAGAAAAATTATCTAACACCATGCATGGATTTGAATCATTTTTAATATCCTATCCTAGAAACATTCTACAAATCTTAAGATTTAAAAAATTAAGTCTCTGTTCTGATTTTTAAAAGATATCTTTTTATGACAATATCCATAACATTGACAGGTACATGTTAAGGCTAGTATCATCTCCTTTTGTGAATTTTTTTTTGACTTTTTTTTTTTTTTTTTTTTTTTTTTTTTTTTTTTTAAGAAAGATAGTAAAAGCCAGACTCCTTTATCCTTTAGGGCTTTGAACTGTACCTACAGAAAATGAGAGTGCAGTGAACATAATGTTCAGTCCTACAGTCAGGATGCAGTTGCTCCTTCCCATTCCACAAGATACTGCACCTTTCCATCAAGTGTCACCCGACGAGCCAATACTCGGTATTTTTCACCACATGCTATTCTACCTGCAGCACCAAAATAACTGGTAATGGAGTTTTTTAGATGATTGAGTTGCAACTCCTGATCTGCTAAGTTATTCAAAATCTCTGTGTTGAGTTCATCAAATTGGTAATCTTCTTTGCCTTCATCATCTTTTACAATTTCTGAGTTCTGAGTCTGGAGTGCTCTTCTTGGAAGACGACCCCTTCTCCTCCGTAAATGTGGTATTGCAGCAGGCCAAGATCTTCCTGTACGAGTTCTTTTTCTGGAGTCAGATAATCTATGGAACAAGAAAGGTCATTAACTGTCTACTGAGTTTATAAAGCATACCTTGCCCAAACAATATATTCTCAGATTTTTTTTCTATCACTCTACTGTAAGTATATGCCCTTGCTGACATAAAAATCAGCCAAACCAAAACAATACATGCTATTTTTATAAATGGATTATCACTCGCCTTCGTTAGATTCCATCACCTTCTTGGGGCTGACCTTTGAAGAGCTTTTCTTCCTTAACAATGTACTATTAAGCTTAAAAGAATCAGAGGAAGTTTTTAATTACAAGGCCAATGAGACATATTCTTACCAAGAAGAGGCCTATTCATATTAGTCAGATATCGTCAACAGTCTTATCATTAAAAAGAAGACAGTTCATTCACTCATTCAATGCAGTAAATACTTAATAAGCACCTACTTTACATACAACATTGTTCCATGTGCTTAAAAAGATGGTAGAACTAGAATAAATGTTCTCTTATTACCAGTTCTAGGGCTAGTGAAGTAATGTAATGAACTGGAATAAACATAAACTAGAAATCAGGGTACCCTGAATCTAGCTCTATGATATTGGCCAAATTCAAATCTCATATCCTCTGTCTTCTCTTCTGTGAAGAGATCAAGTGAAGGGGTAGAACTAGATCATCTCTGAGGTCCTTTACGGCTCAGAAATTCAATGATTTTATAACCTTATAACAAGGGGAGAATATAGCCGAAAAGCTAAATTCAAATATTTTACAATCACACTGCTCAACTCAACATCCTAGCTCTGTTATGCTTGTTAATAAACATGCTAGTCTGGGCTTGTTTCTTAAAACTCTCTCAAGTTTCAGTTTCTTCATCTTTAAAATGGGAGTAACAGGACTTACAACTCAAAAGATTGTTTTAAGAATTAAATAAGACAATGTATAAAGGAAGATTAGCAAAATGCTTGGGTAAAAGGCCAAAACAGTTCACATTATTCTACACAATTCATTAAAAAATAAGTTACATTTTAAGCTCTTTAATACTCTGAATTTTGTATGATTTACATGAGCAGTTTCTAAATTGTGGACAAAAATTTAACTAAGGGAAGCATAAAAACTTGCAAGCTCATAGTTCTGACCCCAAGTAAACTATCTTCTCATAACTGACATATCATGCTTTAGTAGAGGTATCCTTCTAAAAAATCAAGTTAACTAAAATATTTGAGAAGTCTGCTACTGATAGAAATCCTGAGTTTAAGATCTTTTTAGTAACAAAAGGATTTGCATGTCTGATTCAGATATTAAAAAAAGGAAAAGTCTTCCTAAAGCAAGGCATACCTAAATATTGTAAGTATAAAAGGTCTCAGGGAAAAGAACATAACCTATAAACACCATTATACCTCTTTTCTGTGTACATAGAAAATGACCTGATAAATATTAACAACCTAAGGAATCTACATATAGATTGTTTCTTAAACACTCAAAGGCATACTTGTATCACTTTCGAATGCTAAGAATGTATTTAATCATTAAAAAGAAAAAATTATCTAGAAGAAAATTAGTAAGGAATAAGAATATAAAATATCTACCCATAATGCCTGGAAATGCTAGACGAGGTAGTTTCTTTTGCACTGGAAGCACCCGTGAAATCCACATCTGAGGTATTGGATGTATGTGCAGTTCCCTCAGTTCTCCTGAGACAAAAAAATTTAAATGGTATAACGACTATATTACATAACAATAGAAATACTCATTTTCCCCCAAAAGAAAATTCCTAGGATAGGAAAAAATAACTTTCTATTTACCCTATAGGAGAAGGTAAATCCAAGGTAGGATTCTCTGAAATTGATTCCTTATCCTGGAAAATAAAAAATAACATTTAAAGCATGGTTCTAAAGAAATTGGAGAAGATACTCATTTTTCAGTTAATTTCAAGCATCTTTCCTCTCTGAGAACATATATTAACACATCCTCTTACCAAAGGTGGCTCAGCAGTTTTCTGAATCATTTTTCTTGTATAAGGACCAGGTGGACGACCTACAGATTTTTTCTTTCCTTTTTTTTCTATGCCATTGCTTACTTCCCTGAAACATAAAACCATTATGTATTTCATCTCTGCATAAAGAAAATAAAAAGACAATGGATAATATACACCCTACTTACATAATAATTAGGTTATACTTATATATTTTTCTATTAATGGTAATATAAAAAATTAAAGTTGAATCTACAAGTTTAGTCAAGTGCATAGATAATACATTTCAATTTAAATATACATTTCTTGACTTAGGAAATATTTACATATGAAAGGTTTAAGAAAAAGTGTTCTCTTTACTACAATTCTGAAAAATATATAGCATCTTAAAGTTAAAAAGCAAAAACAAAAGCAGACTATTATACTGGATGGAAGATTTCTTAGTTTAGGTTGTTACTATGTGGGTAATGGAAGATTTCTTAGTTTAGGTTGTTACTATGTGGGTATTTGGGAGATCTTTCAAGAATTTATTACTAAAAGTGATTACGAATTTAATAGTTACCCACGTGGAGCCAGGAAGTATCTATATTAAAATATTTTAGTTATAAACACAGGTTGCCTTTAGAAATGAGTATCTATCTATCTATCTCCTTGAATGATGTTTATCAGAAAGAGAATGAAGCCCAGGGTGGCAGAGTATAGAGGAAGGAATTCATCATATCAGGCAGGGAGTCATTCAAAAGACACAATCAGAAAGCTCTAGAAAACCATTTTTGAGACATAAAAGTAAATGTCAAGCAATAGGAAGGGGGAAAAAGCAATAGCCAAGGACATCTCTAATTAACAGAAGGGAAAAAAAGAAAGGACAAATATCAACATACAGAACATCTACTTCATTTATTCAACAAACATTATCTACCATAGAAAAGGGGGTATCAGATAATAGGAATACAAAGACCTTCCCTGTGCTAAGGGGTTCACAGTATAGTTAAAAGTTGATGAAGGTGTATACAAGCAAGCTAATAATAATTCAGTGCTATAAGAAAGTTACCCAGGAAAATTTAATTAAAAAACATGGAAAAGGAGGAATACTACTATATATGAGGCTAGAAAGAGGTGAATGGAGAAAACTAGAAAACTACTCCAGACACCAAACTAAAGCTGGGAAAGTACAAGGAAGGAGAAAATTGGGGAACTAGAGGAAAAAAGCTTAACTAGCACTATAATCAAAACTCTCAAAATAAGGTGATGGGGGTATACATTCCTTTTTTTGAAAGATAACATTTATAGAGGACTCTTGGACTAAAGAAAGTACTCTCAGATTAAAAGTACCAATGCATACATAGGACCCAGAAGGAACAGACAATGCCTTTAAAGAAAGCTGAACCATTTCCTGGTGGCATCAAATGAAAACCTGATAGCTAACATAGATGGAGTATCTTATTAATATCATGATAGGAATGAGAAAATTTGTGTAAACCTTTTTTCTAATTCATAAAATGGGCAACTGATAGCAAAGGGTTAATGATAAAAATCTGAAAATGCTAAGAATAAGTATGCTTTTCTTTAGGGAAAAAAAACTTGAAAGCAGTATCTACTTTATTACAAACTCAAATGGATATGAAACACTGTGTAATTTACCTTTTCTTACTCTCCAAGATGACTGTCTCACCTTTTATTTGCTCCTTCAATTTCCCTCTCTGCACAATCCTCTGAGCCATTCTTTACACCTCAGTATTTCTTTGAGAAAATAGAAGTTACTAAGCAATAACTTCAGTCATCTTCTAAATCTCTAACAGAACTAGCATCTGTAGCCATTTTCACCCAATTTCAACAAAAGGGTGTAAGTCCTATCAAAAGCCATTACCACATTTATGTTCTAAATTCCTTCCCTTTTAGTTTCTCAAGGACTTTATGGTATCTTCAATTACCTTCCCTCTCTCTTCTCCACTGGATCATTCCTACTAGTACATAAAGATAGCTTCCAATTAATTTTCCATCTATGAAAAAGCCATCACTTGAGTACTTCCTTCCCCTCTTCAGCTTCCATTTGTCTACCTCTCTTCACAATAAAACTACTTTGGAGTGCTGTTGACACATGCCCTCCCTTTCTACTTTCTCCCTTCTCATTCAGATTTCTTAAAGGTTATTTCCTACTTTCCACTTTTCCTTTATTATCATCATTATTTTGAATCAGCCTATGCCCCTTATTAGTAGAAAAAGCCCAGTTTTGACATGTTAATTGAGCAGTGCTGGATTCAATCATACTTTAACCCACTTCAATCTGACTTCTATTCTTACCTCTCCAAAACAAAACAAAACAAAACAAAAACCCCTGTTTTTGTTAAGGTCAGTAATAACAGAATACTATCTTTGGCAATAAATATTTTTCTCTCATCTTAAATCCACTTCACAGCAGCATTCAATACTGTTTAATACATTCATCTTTCTTGAAACACTTCCCTTTCTCTTGATTTTCAAGACACCAAACTTTCTCGGCTTCCTCCTATCTCACTGATCATTCTTTTTAGTCTCTCTTGCTTATTTCACCTCTTCCAAATCTCCAAATGATAACAGGGCATTATTCTGGGACACAGTAACTCCCTCCCCATCCCAGCTATTGCTTCCTAGGTAATTTCACTCATTTTCAAGGCCTTATAAATCAGCTTCCAAATTTGTATCATGTGCCCTGACCTCTCCTGAGCTCCTGACTTACATACCCAGAGGTCTCTATCTAACATCATCATCACTTAGATATCCCTTGTGAAAATCTCAAATTCAATTATTATGAGACAGAAGAATGCTTCACTCACCTTGCCAAATCTGCTCTTGCAGGGCTTGATAACAGACATCACCACCCACCAGTTACTCAAGCCAGAAATCTGAGCATTATATAACTTCTTCACTCCTCCATTTTTTTCATAAATTTAATTCATCAGTAAAGTCAATAAATTCTGCCTCCAACAGAGATCGTGAATCTATTTTCTCTCCATTTGACTGAGAGCACTACTCAGACAATCTCTCACCTAGACAACTGCAGCAGTCTTCGTTTCCTTTGCTTCTATTCTTACCTCTATACCTATCCATTCTCCAAAGAGCATACAAAGATGTCTCTTTAAAGGATAATTCAGTCTGCTTACATCTTTAAATAGCTCCCCGTCATTAAAAACAACCCGAACTCCTTAGGAGACCTACATGACTCTACAAGATCAAGCCCCACCCAAACTTTCCAACACCTGATGCTGCTCTCTAGCCCTCATTCATCCCCTACTAGTCTGTGAGATCCTAGAACATGCCTCACAGCCTTCATACTTGTTATTTCCACCACCTGCAGTACTCTTCCCTTTGTTCTGCACATTGTTTGGTTAGTCTCATTCTTTGAATTTCAGCTTAAATATCATCTTAAATTAGGCCCTCCTTAAGCTTCCTTCTTTAAAAGTAGACTGCTTTACCTATATCCATCCCAGAACAATCTAAACCCATATGCTATGTCCGAAATGGCCTAACATGACCTGTAATTGTTTTGTTTATCACCTTTCCTTCCCACTATACTATTAATACCATCAGGGCAAAAAGAAAGTCTGTCTTGTTATTATATCCCCAGCACTTACATAATAAGATGCTTGATAAATGGAATGAATAGATGGATGGATGGATGGATGGATGGATGGATGAATGAGAAATGAACAAACAAATAAACAGGCCAGTACTTAAACTGTCTGCTAACAAAATCAACAGGACTTATTCCTGGAAAGCCTAAGATCTAAAATAAATAAATAAACATCTAAATTAAATTAACTCTTTGTACCTTGTCTAAGCAAGAAATTATAAACAGGAAAACAAATCAAGGTAACTACCACTTGTACTTTCAAATATACTAATGAGACTAAATAACACATTTTTAGTTACAAATAAGCTAAAGAGAAAAACTAAGCCACAGATCAACTTTTACCTTGAATCAGATATAGGTTTGGATGCCTTTCTGCCTTTAATTTTAAATTCATGGGATGTTCCTTCAGGTTCTTTCTCTGCTTTGAAAGCCACATTTGGTGGCACAGGAGGAACACGAATTCGCAACCCAAACAAATGCTTCTTCTTCTTTATTTCTTTCCCAGACATAAACCTAAATTTTTAAAAAAATTAACTAAAAATTTAAAAACTGAACACATATACATGGCAGACCCTAACTCATAACTTTCAGATGTAAAGCCTTTATACATGAAAGACCACCCAATACTACAAAACTCGTTCTTTCTCTTTGCTTTCCTTTCCTTGATTCTTATCTGCTCCAGAGCCACTCCACAGTAGGATATAATGGAGGAGTAAGGAGGGAGGGAAAGGATCAGAAGGGAGAAGAGCACATGTCCACTTCTAACTTTTTAAAGGAAGAAGAGTAAAGCATGGTCTTTTTAGTCCTAAAATGTGTTTTTCCGTACTTCAGTGTCATCTGTTTAAAAGATCTCAAGAAAGGTTTAGGAAAAGAAGAATTCTATTTCAGAGTGGATCTGTGAGGGGAGAAACCCGGTCAGAAAGTAACAGCTGTTAGCAGTGGAAAAGGGGACCCAGTATGAGAGGTCCAAAAAATAAAAGGAGTCTCCAGTGTGTCAGATCCAGAATTGGAAATAACATGGAGCAGGGAAAAGTTATTTCCATCTGGGTTTAGGTCTCTGAAAAATGTGTTCCATAACTGTTTCCCAAAATCCTCAGGCTCCTTACTCCAAAACACCTCACCTACCTTAGTTCTACTAGACCCTGCCTAACCTGAGGAACCACACACCAAATTGCTTGGAATATTCTTCCACTGTTATGCAGGTTTGAGAAATGGGAGCTAATATTTCTATCATAATAGGAATAGATATATTTCTGGTACCCTAAATTGGATTACAGAATTCACATCCCATAAAGTACTTTTTACCAGTACAGTAACTGCTCAGGCACTTTATGGCTTTTTTAACTGGCCTAAATATCTAGCTAGGCACTAGTATTACAACATTTTTAAGGAGGGAATGCTGTCCAGTTCAAAAGAAGCAACTTGTTAGAAACAAAAATTTTATAAAATAACTCAATGGTTGGTTACAGCCAGCACGAACACTTAAAATTTTTTTTTCTATTGCAATTTTTAAGTGTTTTTTTAAATGTAGATTTTTTTTTAAAAAAAGGAAAGCCCATACAAGAATATATCAAACAATAACCAATTATCAAAAATTTAGTACTAATACTACTTTTCTGTAACTGTTGACAATAATCTTAAAATCTTAGAAGATCTCACAATAATTTTAAAACCAATATTCTCTACAGTATTTTCCACTATCGTTTACATTTTCCCACCAACTAATATTTTATTTTCAGGAGACTGCATTATAAAAACAAGTCATTACTAAATATGTTTTTCAACTGAATAGGCCAAATTCCCAAGATAGTGGTTATGTCTGCCTCTCAATCACCATTCCCAGAGGATTGCTTTTCCCTTCTCCAACCCTTGAGAATCACTGTTTACTCGGACTAAAAAATAGGACATTAAAAAGCTTAAAATGGTTTGTACTAGTTCTAAACACCAATCCCACAAACCTTAAACAATGCCATTATTCCTTATACTTACTAAATGTCTCCCTCATAGGGATACACAAAATAAATCAACTTACATGGTCTTGTAATCATTTAATGCCTCCAGAACATGCTCATATCTTTCAGATTTTGGTGTGTCTGCCAGCTGTGAAGTATCAAGAAACAATTTAACGCACTATAATTTCATCAATTAGTAATATACAGGTGCTAGACAGAGGCAATGTGATGCAGAAGAAAAGTGTACTGACTAGTATACCGTCAAAAGATCTAAATTCTAATTCCAGGTCCTCACTGACTAGCTACATGATCTAAAGCCATTTAACCTCTTAAGGTTTGTTTCTTATCTATAAAAAAGGGAGTAAAAATCCTCCCCTAATTACTTCACTAGTAATTATGTGAATCAAATGATATGGCTGAAAGAACTGTAAACTGGAAAATGTTACAAGAATGGAATTTTGTTAGTTATTAAATTTAATTCCATAATCTGAGGAAATAATACATTAGAATGACTTTAATATCAACCATATATTGGATCTAATAGATATTATTAGGGAGGAGTATAAAAAGTAATGAAAACATAAAATTTTATTTACCAATAATCTCCATAACTTTGAAAAATTCTGTGAAACTGGTGGGGAGGAGTTGTTTTCAGAAAAGTTACAGACATTAGCCAGCCCTAAAACTCAAAGTGTCTCAGTAATTTTTTATCATCAAAAATCATTTTAAAATCTATTCAATTCTAGAAAGTATTTTTTGGTTTCAAAAGGGCTTCCTCAAGAGTCATTTCTGCCTCTTCTTCCAAGTTTAAAGACTAGGGCCCAATAGCAAAAAATTCTAAATTCTTAAAAAAGGACCATTCTCAGTTAAAACCACAAAAACTTAAAAAAATAAATAAATCCAGAATATCATAGCTGACTTCCAAGTGTACCACCAGTATGTCTTTATCAATTTATCAAAGCTCAGAATTACTTCAAGTAAGAAGAGTAAACAAATCTGTCAGATAGAATGTTAGAGGTAGAAGAGATTTACAGAGTCATCTATTCCAACTCTCTTTATTTTATAGATTAGTTAACAGTTATAAAGGTTAAATGAAATGCTCAAATCCAATGGCTGGTTAGTGAAAGAGCTAAAATTCTGAACCCAGGTGACAATAAGTCCATTCATTCAACATTCACTAACAGCCCATACTGTGCTAATGCACTGGGTGCTTTTAGAAAATAAGAAAAGAAATGGGACAGTCTGGTGGTCATGCCTCTATACCCTATTACTTCCTCCTACTGTAATTTCTGCAGTGTTCAATGAAAGAGAATTTCTATTAAAAAAGAAATAACACAACAGACATTAAAGCCTGAAGGACACTTTCAGTGTCCATGTAATTCAAGGTTCCATCAACACTGCAGTCCCTTTTATAGTACTGATAGGTATTCAACCTTGGTTTAAATACTAGCAATGATGAAAGCTGATGAGGTACCCACTAAGGAAGCCCATCTCACAGGTAGACAAATCTTCCCTCCTGGAACTCTTCCAGTCCTCTCTTACAAGACAGTTCTTCAAATATTTGATAGTAGCTATCATGTCTAAGTATAAGATGCCTAAGTTTAAGAGTAGGTTGAAAGTTTTTAGCAACCACATTGGCTAATTTCATCTCTTCCTCATCCCCACCTCCTCACCTGAACTCTAAAATCTTAACAAATAAACTAATCAAATCAAGTATTCGCTATCATACACTGCTTCTTCTGAACTGGCTGAATGTGTATTTAAGCCTAAGAGCAGAACTTATTTGTAACTATTGTTAATTTGTTTTGTTTTCAGGTCAGTGTTTGAGATAATCTTTTCTCTTGATTCTGTCATCCATCTTAAAATTAGAGGTAGACACAAAGACAGAATCCTGTGGCTCTCCATTAGAATCTCCCTCAAGAGTATTTCCAAGCCATTGAAAGCTTCTGTTTCTATAATTCAACTGGTTACATATCCATTTTTTACTTTTAATTTTAACCAGTTCGAATTTTAGTATCTAATATGGAATTCAGTTACACTATGCTTATACTATACCTATAGTATTTGACTTACCAGTGTGGCTAACCATATAAAAAAGGGGGAGAGGGGTATTTAATATGATTTATTCTAATAAAATAGTGTTTTTTCCTTGTAGCTTTTTAAATCTTCACAAACCACACATCTGAAAAATGTACTCTACAATCTTGCTGACAATCAACAACAAAACTATTTCTCAAATCTATTCCTCTTTTACTTTTTGAAAAGCACAATGAACCCTCTCTTTCTTTTGGTACTTGCTCTCTATGGTTTCTCAGAAATTTTATCTGTAAGTTCCTTCAGCACTCCAAAACTACTTTCCATAGAACTACATATATTTCAACTTGTATTATGGGGCCAAGGGATCTCTTTGTGCATTTTGAAGACCTAAACTACAGACATTATACTTCAAATCAAATAATCTGTATTAAAACAGCACCATATTCTAAGTCTACCATCTGATCATGAGGTTTGTAATACTGCTAACATAATAACCATTTTCGTTCCTCCCCCCACAGACACTAATCTCACATTATACTTTGACTCTCAGGGTTGTATATTTCTGTATAGATATAAATGCTATTAGGTATAGTTATAGCTCTTCCTTTCAAAAAAATATACCTTTGAATTACCAATATTGAATTCCATGCCGCCTAGGCTTAAGTATGCAAAACAGGGTTAAGTAATTTGTTTGCCAACCTATACAGCTATATGTTAATACAAAACACTCAAAAGCCTCAAGTATTGTTGTTAATCATATTTCTTATAATTTTCATTTAAAAATATTATACCTCAATTATACATTTTTCTCCTCTAGCCAAAACATCATACCTGCTATAGTATTTCATTTAAGTTTATGACTTTCTCCCTACATCCTTCAAAAGGTAGCACTCAATATACTACTCTGCTATGAATCTTTGGGGGCTGAAATTTAAGATTACCATTAACAGAAAAGTAGGCTGCCCTTATAAAACTAGGATTTCAGATCACATTAGGAATTAAGGACAAATAATAATAAGTAGATTCTGAAGTATGAATATTTCTTTTTAACTCTCAAAACCAACCTGGTACAACAGTTATTTCCTCATTCTAAATAAAAACCCTTAAGCAACCTTTATTTGGATCTCAAATGTTACATTATATATTTTTACAATCTCAAAAAAAAAAATTACAAAACAACAGTTTCTCAAATAGCTCATTCAGTCTATATAAGGCACAAAGTCTCAAAGATGTAAAAGAAAGAAAACAAAAATCACATAAGAAAACAGGATATAGAACTATCACTATGTTCCAATATGTTCTAAAAGTTTCAGCTGCTCTTCACAATCCTGAAATAACCAACTAAGAAAAGAAATATACATAAATGGTAAATTTGCCTTCAAATATTTTTGAAACTTCTTGTTATAAAAGAAGTCATAGCATTTCCTTTATATCAAAAAAAAAAAAAGCACAAAACACTAAAAGGATACCACTGATTCAATTAAGATTGCTCTAAGTAATTAGAAATTGAAATAAGTATTTACAGGACTTCCAAAATAATATAGAAATACTATGAAATTTTGGCCAGTGTTATCATATATTAAATTAAGTCCTAATTCAGCTCAGAAAAAAAATGTAAGTACCTCCCTGTGACTAGTGTGTCCATATATATTCCTAAACAAAAAGCCATAAAACTCTCAATCAACTTCTCAAGTCATCAGAAGATTTTTTTCCTTTACCCACATGGAGGAAAAAAACTCCACATTTAAGAGAGAGTTAAATCACAACCATTTTTTTTTTTTGTTTCATTCTGAGGAGAACCTTCTAGACCAAGTGCCTATGTCATATAATTGATAGTACTTATAGTAAGAACCAGTGTTCAAATGACAATACACTTAACATGCAGTATTTCCCATATTTTTTAAGAAATTAAACCTATCTTATAAAAAGATTTTTTAACACAAAAGTATTTATAAACAAAAAGAAAGTTTCGTAAAACTAAATCTGGATTAGTGACAAAACTCAATTTGCAATTCCATTTCAGTTAACCAAAGATACACTACTTTAATAATCTGGAATAATCCACTATTTGTATTATTTTCGTTTCTATTATCGCAAACATTTAAAAGTAAACTAAGTGAAAATTAGTTACATATAAATGTTACAAATAAATGTTGAGGCAGGCATAAATTTTATGGTCTCTTTATTATTAAAATCGTACTCTCAAAATCAATCATAACATTATAAAGATTTAAAAGATTAATAGAGTTAAAAGCTGAACTTCCATCTCTAAATATTTGAGGATGGAATGACTAAGTCTGAATATTTTGTTTTTTGTTTTTTTTTTAATGCAGAGAAAAGGCAATGGGAAATGATTAGAAAGTCACTTGTTCTGAAAATATACTTGATGGCTCCAAAAAATGGAAACACTCCCCAGAAAAGTAAACTTTTCCATTGTAAAGTTTTATTAGAGTATAATGTTCTTTTTAAATTTAAAAAAATTTCCATATTGGCAAAGAATAAGAAATTGAATTGAATGAATGTCTTATTTCTAAGACATCATCACATAAGCTACAGAAAATGAAAACATGTATCTACTAATAAATTTTTTGATATATATCAGAAGTATAGCTAGAACTAAAATACCTGAGATTCATAAACTGAATTAATTTCTTAGACTAACTGTCTAGACTGATAGTCTATTTGTGATTTTTGTTTTCTATTTTCAGCATCTTAAATAAAATCTAGGTATCATTTTTCATTTTAATAAAAGAAAGCATTTGAAATAAAGTAACATGAGTTTTTATATGTGTGCCCACTGTCTACATGAAGTAATTACTACAGAATTTAATCATGTGAAACATAAAATGTACTAAGAATAGAGATGTATCTGCATATGAAGTGCTGAAGGAACCATGGTTAGAAACAAAGCATTTTAAAAAGAATATATTAAAGTATTAAATATTAAAGATGACTGTAATGAACCATATAGCCACTAGTGCCTTATACTTACTTTTTTCTTTCATTACTCATCATTACTATTACTATTACTATTATTACTAATCATTACTATTAAAATTTATCAACTCTGCAAGACACTGGTTTTCTCTCAAATTTCATCTGGAAAAAACATGTAACAGAAAAGAATGTTGTGTTCCAACTTCTAACACTCAAAACATCTTAGCTCAATTAATTTTAATAATATCTTTTACTTAAAAAAAGTCAAAGTATCCTGCAAGTGTTTTATAATTTGCACAACTGACCTACCACAAACTAGCTTTTAAATGTGCATTGTTCTCCCCGATGCCCCATAAAACCCCCAAAACAACTCAAAACACCCTGACATCTTATTTGACATGAACCATTTATAAACTGCCCCATGTCTAAAAGCTACAAAAGTAAAAATTCTTCCTAAACTTCTTTAGTTTACACAACTTTTACCTCTTCCAAAAGTAATGTGCGACTAAAATTCACATATCTGATTCCACATATTATAAAACAAAATTTTTATTTAAGCTAAGAGTAGTTAGGGGTGCCTGGGTGGCTCAGCCCCTTAAGCATCTGACTCTTCAGGTTATGATCTCAGGTTTGTGAGACAGAGCCCCAGGGTCAGGCTCCATGCTGGGTGTGGAGCATGCTTAAGATTCTCCCTCTCCCTTTGCCCCACCCAGCACTCCCACCCTCTCTAAACGAAAAACAAAACAAAACAAAAAATAAAACATTAAGCTAAGAGTAGTTAATATCTAGATTTTAATAATTCAAAATAAATCCTTAAAACAGGTTAACTACTAAAGTTACTTTAGTTATTTTCTTCTTTGTATCTTCTTTGTGCTTGTCTATGGTTTCAAAATCTTCTTCAAAGAACATGCATTAACTTTTACATTGCTTTTTTTTTTAAAGACTCTGTAAACCTGCATAAGTGGTTAGACTTCGCAAATGAAAAGCAAACTGAGATGTCATAATGAGGGGGATAATCTCCAACCAGAATAGCTTTACTCCCTAACACATTGCTCTAACACTATTACTGGGTGCCCCCCATTCCTGGAAGTCAAAGATTACATACAAGGGAGTACCAACAAGAGAGGAAGGAAGAGTGTTGATTATATCTCTTAAATCTATAGAAACTTAGAAAAACAGGAGGAAGAAACATAAGTAAGATACACAATAATAAGAATTTCAATAAGGATTTCTCCCTCCCTTCTATCTTTAACTACAATGATTCTCACTTCAGAAAATGCGAAAATCAAATAATTTACTTCCTCCTTCTACATTTTTCCCTGAGTCAACAGGCAATAAACAGGAAGAGAGGGCTGGCCCTGATATCATCAGAGTTACTTCTCCCTGAACTAAAATTAAAATTTTATTTTAGATGTATAACTTATACATTTATCTTAATTGTTTTTAACAGAAACAAAACAAAAATTGACATCAAGTAGCTAATAAAGTTAGCTCTAAGACCACCTACCTCTCCAGGATGCAATCTATCCCAGTTTTCATTAATGTATGTCATAAGCTCAAGTTCAGAATCAAAGTATTTCTTCTTATGAATAACACTTAGGTTGTAAAGGCATAGGTGTGCTATATCTACCCTGGAATCCAAAAATAATCAAAATATACAAAAGCAATGTTTTTGGTTATTAAGAAATCACATTTTAAAAAATAAAAACAGCAATTAAAAAATCCAAACTGAAGTATACAGGTAAGCAGAGGGTCAATAGCATAAGTTATAATCACAATGTTAATAAATTACATATGAAAATAATTGGAAAACATTAACTAAATACTTGCTTACACTGAGTAGTAAACATAAACTAAAAGGAATTTGAGTAATTTCTTAAGATGCATTCAAAGAGGAAGTAACTATATTAGAAAAAATAACTCATAATAAAAATATCTACATTTCACTTATATATAAGCCATACAACAGCTCATATTTTAACAGACTTTATCTGAGTCATGAGTTAAATCTTATCTTTTCCTAAAATACATAAAACATTTAATAAAAATTTCTAAGTACTGGGGCACCTGGGTGGCTCAGTAGTTAAGCATCTGCTTTCGGCTCAGGTCATGATCCCAGGGTCTTGGGATGGAGCCTCACATCAGGCTCCCTGCTCAGCAGGGAGTCTGCTTCTTCCTCTCCCACTCCCCTTGCTTATATTCCTTCTCTTGCTGTCTCTCTCCCTCTCTATCAAATAAATAAATAAAATCTTTAAAAAAAAAAAAACAAAATTAAAAAAAATTTCTAAGTACTTACTATAAGCATTTTATCAGAAATCTCCCAAAATTCATCACACTTCCCATACCCAAGAATTACACTAAAGCAGAAACCAGCATATTTCGTATAAGACCTCTCTCTTCTGCCGTATGCTATTCTGAAGGCCAAAAGAATTAAAAACATGAATAAGAATTTTGAAAATCTAAAAGGTATGTGAAGCTACGTTCTATGCATTAGAAAATAAATGGCCTTATTATTTCAGCAATAAAACTAGATAATCTTTACTGAAACGACATCAGGTTTAAGGATAAATAAAAGAAAGCCAGGCATAAAGAAAAGCAAATTTTTATTTAAACCAAGTTAACATATTCAGAAACATTTCATCCTGTAGGTTTAAGAATATGGTCCTTTATTATTCCTCAACAGAAATGTCCATACTTACCACTGTAATGGTAGACGTTTGAGGTATTCTGGTCCAGAACTGCAGACAGAGCAAATAAATGTATAAAACCTAAGGAAAAAAGAAAAGTTGCATACTGAGTAATCAAAGGTATACATAAATTATTCAACAATTAAAGCTAATATTCAGCAAGTACATATCCTACAAAAGATAAGCGATACACAAAGCAAAATATAATCTGAATTATGACACTGTGATTTAAAGTTTTTCAGTAACGACAAATAATGAAATAGTTCATATATGGGGGGCAAAAGCAATTTTTTTTTTTTTAACCCATTAGACATTCAGAGTTCACACACAGGTTCATATACAGGTACAGTTTACTAATGTCTTGTGTGTACCATGAACTGTGATGGCAGCCCCCATATACAGTGTTATACTCAATGCTTTAAACAATCTGGTAACATAAAAGAAGATAAGCTGTTCTTCCTAAATTCTGAAAGACAGTAAGCAGCATAAGGTTTTTTTAAACCCAGGTTTTTTATGCCAAGTTCAGTGCTATTTTATTTTTCTTCCTAGAGCTCTCTGCTATTCCAAATTCTCCCAATCCAGAAAGCAGATTAGGGTCTGCTTTTGTTAATTCTTTAGATCGAGGAGGGTGTAAATTTTGTATCAAGGTTCTGTAGCCTTTTCCAATTTTCTGTCACAGGATCCCTTTGGGGTTTTTAAAAGGAAGGTACCAATGGGAATAGTTTAGAGTATTGTGGGGCAATAGGGGCAAATACAATCACTGATCAAATACTTAAAACTATTCTGGATTAACACCTAAAACCATAAAAATTATGTGTATTTTAAAAGTGTGCATAATTTAAGTCTATCATTCAGTATTTTCCCTCTAAAGTGACTCCTTCACAAATTATTTGTAATTACATTTAGAAATCTGAAACTGTAAACATAACTACAGTATAAAAGCTAAAAAAAAAAAAAGTATCAATTGGTAAAGTTCAAGTGGCCTTCTTACCTATCTCCAAATAGCATTGGCTTTTGCAGGCATTGCACACAAGCCTCATGAAACCACTGCTTACATTTGCAGCATTGTAACATCTTTAAATACCAGCTATAAGAAAAAAAGTTAAGATTAAAATTACTACTTTTCCAGGTAAAGTTTTAAAAACAAAGCAAAACAAAATCTAGTGGCATTATACAAAATATAGTCATGATTAACCGTAACATTTCTGCTATATTTAACACGAAAATTTTTCTTTCCCAAAAGGCTACTGGTGATTCCACCCCTCCTTTCTAATCCACAAGAATTTATAAAGCCTGGTTCCTAGACTAGTGAAGAATCTGTGCCAAAGAACAAACCCAGGATTTTTTTTTTCACACTGACTCTCCACATCTCCTAAGGGAGATTAGTTCAGAGGTTACTGACGTGCACAGCTGTTTGCCCAATATACCCAATAGTCACAGGCAGCTTTGTATCTTCACAGTGTTTCCATTATTCCTTTCCAGTATAATGAAAAGCAATGTAAAATAACACCTTTATATATAAATTTGGTTAACATAATTATAAATCTAATCAAAGACTCTACCAGATATAAAGGCTTTGTGACAGGTTTTGTTATTTTTCAGATAGCTGAAGAAGCTAAAACTGAATCTCTATCTAGGGATATCCTCTCTTTTCAGCTGGTATGTGGTTTTGATGTAATACCCTTACTGGCCTCCCAAATAATGCCTTTTCTTCCAATAATTATTCTGACTCAAAAAGTCAGTCCCCCATTAACTATAAGCCATATACAGTCAAAGGAATGAAGACTGATATTAAGTAAGGTTATTATTCATTCATCAAAAGACTAAAAAATGCTAATTATGTTCCAGATACGTAGCTAGGTCCTCTACTAAAGTCAGAGTGGCTAACAATATCAAACACAGTTCACATGGTCATGGGACTTCAAGAATTATCAATGATCCACTTCATAAAATGTCTATGATGGCTTCCACCTATTTTGAGTAATACTTTAAACCAAATGCTAGGTATAAATGAGTAAAGGAAAAGATCATTCTCTATGTTTATTCACTGTATCTCTTTTTTATAAGTGATTAAAGAAACTAGACAAATGTTTCTTAAATCTGCAGGTGACCAAAAACTAAGAAGTGTTATAAAAAGGTTAAGTCACAAATAAAAAATTCCATTAAGAATTAGAGATTAGGAAGAATGAAGAGCTAAAAACTCATTCATCTATACATTCATTTATTTATGTTTCATCAAGAACTTACATCCCAGTCATGGTAAAGTTTTACAGACATTTCCTGTAATGCATTTGAACAGATACTATGTTAATGATAATGACTACCCCTTAATGACATTTAATGACAATGACTAATCCAGGATTCTCCTAAACAGCACACTTGCTGGGATGCCTGAGTGGCTCAGTTGGTTAAGCGTCTGATTTTGGCTCAATTCATGATCTCGGGGTCCTTGGATTGAGCCCGGAGTCTGGCTCCCCACTCGTTTGTCCCTCTCCTTTTGCCCCTCCCCCAGCTCATGCTCTCACTTTTTCTCTCTCTCAAATAAATAAAATATTTAAAAAATAAATAAATAGCACTTGTCTTAAGAGAAGCAGAGTCTGAGAGGAAGAAGGACACAAGATACCAATAATTACAATTAAAGAGTAAAATATGATTCACTACCATTTTTTTAAATGTAGTACAAATACATGATGCACAACTTGGCTTAATATGAGCTTATACAAAAAAAAAAAAAAAAAAAAGAGGAATTAGAGGTATTAGTTGACCACCACTTATTTTCTTTATTGACACTTTCATGCATTTACAATTCATTATCATTTCCACATCACAATCAATAACAAAAATAAAAAAGATAATATAAACAAAAATCACGTAAAGGGCATGAAATAACTATTTACTTACTCTCCAGGGCCTCCACAATAGCAATAACATTGCTGGACATTGGTTTTATGACCTGCATCCCATTCAAGGTCTGCCACACTATAGGGTAATGTCTGCTTCATGACTTGCAATGCTTTGGCATTTGGTCCTTTCTTAAGCGCACCACCCCTCTATATTAGAGGGAAAAAGTTATTTGAACGAATGAAGAATAAAATCTTAAATACAGTTCCTTAACATAAAATGCTTCTGAAACTTCTGAAGAAACTTCCATTCTAAATTTCTTACCACAACACAAACTGTTTGACTAATAATAATCTTTATTTATTTTGTTGTCTTTCAAATTATTGCCCCAATTTCAAGACCACTCACTATCAGAAAATAAGTGCAAGGATAGCTGTAAATCACTTAAGCACCATTAGTCAAACAATAAGCCTCACCTCTTTCTACCCAGCATTGATTGCTCATTTCAGTCACATAAACTTTCAATGTAAACAATCATTACGTTGAGAGTGCCTTACAAATTCCATTTAGGGCTTTAGCCCAAAACACTTAAAAGATACCTTTGTTGTTGTTGCAAAAACACACTGTCGACAGAGCCATTTTTCATCTGAATCAATCACACTGGAATCAATATGAGGTGTGTGACACAACTGATGATATCCTTAATATCAAAAAAAGCATAAAGCAAATTCTATTTTATTAATAAATACTGCAACACAATTTCAAGAAGGCATTTTTAGTACTCTTCTCCTACATTAATATATTTACAATTGATGAATAAATTTGATAAAAGCTTCAAGTTATCGATGTAAAATACTTTTAATCATTAATCTTCAATAGGAGCGTTAAGTATGGAATAAAACTTTTCCACAAGATTAAAAGAAATCAATGTTTACCTTGGCCACACTTATCACATATAACCATTTCATTGGGAGCTTCTGAATACTCTTCTTGACATATTGTACAGACCATTTCCCCACTTCCAGTGGCTCCTAAAATATTTAAAATATACATTAAAAGACAGTCATAATAAAGAAGTATTTCATATAACAAAACTACTTTTTGACTCTGCGGGTAGCCTGTATTGGCAATGTTTATTCACTGAATCATAATGATTTCTTCTCAAGGCAAAGTACTATCCACAAAATGCTATCTCTATGCAACCTGTGTCCCTCCCACCTTTAACTTAACATACCTAACTACCTACATTGATAATTTAACCTGTTTTTACAGCAGATGGCATAATTTAACCTGCTCTCAGGCAAGATCCTTTATTCACTTCTAACACTCATACTCCCCTGGGGGACAAGGAAATGCGATGTTTTGTAAACACGAGAATTACTCTCCAGAATACACATCTACCTACCTATATACATGTATTCACTCACCCTACACTATCTACCATCATGAGACTAAAGAAAAAGGGCCAAGAAGATATGTCAATGACTTCTTTCTCTCTGGATTCAGCACATTTCTTTTTATTTGCTGACATGAAAGAAGCTGAACTCCAATTATTTAATCTCAAACTTCAGAAATCTGGAAATATGGTGTCTAATAAAGTATCCTAATAAAATCTCAGGCAACAAAAGTTTTTTTTTACCTTAATAGGTAAATCAATCTTATTAATTAATTAATAATAATACTTAATTATAATAGGTAAAATAATTTTATCTTAATAGGTAAATTAAAATTATATTCTTACCTTAATAGGTAAATTGTTTCTTCTTTAGGCATTTTTATTCTAATAACAATTTTATTCCACAAAATTTAGAATATGATTTTAATACTCTAACATCATTATTTCCAATATTCTCTTCTCCTCAATTTCATAGTTAAACTACATGGTATATTCATATGCCAATAATAATTAAAATGTACCATTCTGTGCTATTAGCCAAGTATCGTTAAGCTCTTGACATATATTATTTTGCTTAGTTCTACAGGTATCTTATTATTAGATAGAGGAACTGTGGCTCAGAAAGATAAAGTAACTAACCCAAGGATCCTCAGAAAGTATCAAGGCTAGGATTCAAATCCAGATATGCCAGAGTCCATATTCTCTCCAATCTGAGATCCTTCATCAATATTTTAGAATATTTTTTCTACCAAAAGTACTGCTCACACTGCTATTTTCAAAATTATAATTTCCTTTTTTTAGTTTTATTTATTTATTTATTTGACAGAGAGAATATCACAAGTAGATAGAGCAGCAGGCAGAGAGAGGAGGAAGCAGGTTCCCCGCTGAGCAGAGAGCCTGATGTGGGGCTCACTCCCAGGACCCCAAGATCATGACCTGAGCTGAAGGCAGGGGCTTAACCCACTGAGCCACCCAGGCGCCCCCAAAATTATAATTTCTAACAGCTACATAATATTCTATCCAGTAGAAATAACCAAATTTACTTTATTACACCTCTACTCTTATGTAAGTTACCAAATTTTTTGTTTGTTCACTTTTTAAAAAAATATTTATTTATTTGTCAGAGAGAGAGAGAGAATACAAGCAGGCATAGTGGGCAGGCAGAGGAGAAGAGAGAAGCAGGCTCCCTGCCCAGTAAGGAGCCCAACGCGGGCGAGACTCAATCCCAGAACCCTGGGATCATGACCTGAGTCAAAAGCAGCGGCTTAACCAACTGAGCCACCCAGGCATCCCTGTTTGTTCACTTTTTGCATCTTTCCTTGTTTATTGTGATCTCTTGTTCTCTCTCCCTACCTCTCCCAGGCTTTGTTTACTTCCTTGTACCCTTGGAAGGAAACAGCCTCCATAGGTTCTGAGTTTATGGCTCTGGTCAGGAGAGAAACCCCACTGAGCCTGACACCTCTCACTTCAAATCAGCATTTCCCTGAAAAAGGACCAATGGCCACAGGTTTTATCTTATACATATCAAGTTTTTTGTTGTTGTTAAAATAAAATTACAGTAAATGTTTTCCACTAGCATTTTCACTTTTGAATTATTTCTTTTGAATAAACTGCTAGAACTGACTATGCAGTATCAATTAAAGAATATAAAACATTAATGCAACCGTTAAAGCAATACCCAAAATAAAACTATTTTCACAGAAACCATATTAGGTGTTAAAATTTAAAATCCTTGGGGTGCCTGGGTGGCTCAGTGGATTAAAGCCTCTGCCCTCAGCTCAGGTCATGATCTCAGGGTCCTGAGATCAAGCCCCGCATAGGGCTCTCTGCTCAGCAGGGAGCCTGCTTCCCACCCCCCCACCCCCGCCTGCTTCTCTGCCTACTTGTGATCTCTGTCTCTGTCAAATAAATAAATAAAATCTTTAAAAAAAATTTTTTTAATCCTTTTAAATGTATTTGTTTTAACCTATCTCCCTTTTGTGATGCACATTTCTTTGACTACTAATAGAACTCTCTCTACATTTTTCCTTATTTACATAAACTTTTAAAAATAATCTTATTAGGGACGCCTAGGTAGCTCAGTCAGTTAAGCGTCTGCCTTTGGCTCAGGTCATGAACTCAGAGTCCTGGGATCAAGTCCCACATTGGGCTCCTGCTCAGTGGAGAGCCTGCTTTTCCGTCTGCCTGCCACTCCCCCTTCTTTGCGCTCTCTGACAAAATCTTTTTTAAAAAAATTATCTTATTAGATGGATGAAATTAGTCCAATTTATTAAGTCATTACGATACGTATCTATTATTAGCAGGCTTCTTATAGGAAGAAAATTACTAAAGCTACACTCCACACTGAAATCTGCCATAATGCAGTATTCAGTTTCACTTCCTCATTCTAAAGCAACTCCAACTACATGTGTGCTATTTTCTGGGTGCTAGAAAGAGTTAAACAGTGGTGCAGTCAGTTAAGTTTAGGACTCTTGGTTTTGGCTCAGGTCATAATCTCAGGATAGTGGGACTGAGTTCTGCACAGGGCTCTGTGCTCAGTACAGACTCCACTTGAGCTTCTCTCTCGCTTTTCCTCTGCCCCTTTCCCCCATGCATGCGACACTCTCTCTCTCTCTCTCTCAAATAAATAAATAAATAAATCTTAAGGAAAAAAAGAGTTAAATAGCCAAGGAGCAATTCTTTTTTCTTTTCAGTTCTAGGACAATAAAAAACGACAGTGAGCAAAAACAATCACAGACCTCTAAACTGATATACTGGGTAGAACACACATTGGATAGTACCCTTCACTTTCACAACTTAAAAAAAAAAAAAAGGGACGCCTGGGTGGCTCAGTTGGTTGGACGACTGCCTCCGGCTCAGGTCATGATCCTGGAGTCCCGGGATCGAGTCCCGCATCGGGCTCCCGGCTCCGCGGGGAGTCTGCTTCTCTCTCTGACCTTCTCCTCGCTCATGCTCTCTCTCACTGTCTCTCTCTCAAATAAATAAATAAAATCTTTAAAAAAAAAAACATTTTACTTATTTATTTGAGAGAGAAAGAAAGAGAGAAAGATAAAGTGAAAGAGAGCATGAGAGGGGAGACGGTCAGAGGGAGAAGCAGACTCCTCTCGGGGCTGGGAGCCTGATGCGGGACTCGATCCCAGGACTCCATCCCAGGACTCCAGGATCATGACCTGAGCCAAAGGCAGTTGCTTAACCAACTGAGCCACCCAAGTGCCCACACTTCCACAACTTTCTATATGTACTACAGGCTTTCTTCTTCCTGTCTGAAAGGAAGAAATGGATAGAGGGAGGAGGGAGGGAAGGAAACAAATATATCTATAACCTGCAAGAACCCTGAAAAGTTGAAAGAGACTCATAACTAATAGGGGAACAGAAGCAGTGTAACATGTTTCAGTCCTACCACAAAGAAAGATCCATGTTTACAAACTAGTAATAATTCATACATTAATTCTGTATGCAGGGTAACAAGATCTGCTCAATACAACTACTGTTAGAGATCTCCTAATCTTTCTCCTATCCCTCTTCTCACTGATTCCTCAATTTCAGATTTAAAACATAATTTCAGAACTTTAAACTGATCAATCCCAAGAACTATAAAGTTTCTCTTGAAAGACATATTACTATCAAGTAAGAGCTATCAAGTTCCCCACTTAAGCCCCAATTACCAACTATGCACATGGTAATTAGATCATTCTAATTCTTTAACCAAAACTTCCTTATTCTTTAAAAAATTTAAGAATGAAATCAAGAAATAAAAAAAGATTTGGGCGCCTGGGTGGCTCAGTGGGTTGAGCCTCTGCCTTCAGCTCAGGTCATGATCTCAGGGTCCTGGGATCGAGGCCCGCGTCGGGCTCTCTGCTCAGCGGGGAGCCTGCTTTCTCCTCTCTCTCTATGCCTGCCTCTCTGCCTACTTGTGATCTCTCTCTCTCTGTTTCAAATAAATAAATAAAATCTTTAAAAAAAAAAAGAAATAAAAAAAGATTTAAGAATGAAATAAAAAATTAAGAATGAAATCAAGAAATAGAACACAGTAGTAATCTACCATAGAGTTCCACTTGGGATTCAAATTAAAAACCCAATCACCAAATACTTTAGAAAGGTATCCACCCTTTAGAGAAAGAAAATTTGTATCTCCTTAATATGAAACACAGGTCTTAGCACAGGCCTCTTAACTCAATTAAAAAAAAAAAAAAAAAAAAGTCGGGCTTTGGTGTGCAGCTAAAATACTCAAATTTTTAGTACTTGTAATTAATAAATCACTTTTCACAAGAAAAATACCTGGGAACAACATCCTTATTTAGCAGATTCAAAGGGTATACAGTAATCATAGAAATTATTACAGTAATAAAAGAGAAAGCATTACAAAAAACATACCTATAATCAAACCAAGGCATACCTGTATTCACTTTTACTTGCACACAAATAAGCCTCATTTTCCCATCCAAATTTAAAACCCCTAATTAGATGGTCATTTCAAATCATTCTTATTAATGAATACTTCTAGTATCCTAAACCTGTTTAATATGTCCTAATATCCCCCAAATCATCCAGCAAATAGTATGTTCTCAATAAATACTAGCTCTCTACATTACTTTTACTAATATAAGCAAGTAACAGTTAAGTTGAAGCCCAAAGTATTACTCATATTAGTGGCTAAAAATTTTTCTTCAAAATTATTAGATGGGCCCTAAAAATAGTTCATAGATGTACACCACTGACGCATCTGTTCTTTAGTCTACCTCTATTCTAACTAAGAATAATTCCTGTTCTTCTAGGGTTTATAACAGATTATAACTCCTTGAGGACTATGAAGAACACATATCCTCAAAAGTGATTCTGAGTTACCTTAATATACTGTACTCAACAAAAAACACTAGAAAGTGACAGCCTAAAAAGAAAATCAAATTTTAGTGTAAATCATGTTCAAGAGAAATAGTAGCACCTGCCTGTTTGAATGTCCTTCCAGAGAACCCAGGATTTAGAACTGTCTTCAAATATGATGAAGCAGCTCTGTTTCAATATGTTTATCTGAAATATAGAGGAATATTTATGGTGATTTTTTTGTAAGTTAAAAACATGAAGTTAAACTCAGAATTACTAAAAATTTACTGCAAAAAAACAAAATATATATAAAGGTAAAACTTGCCTTTTTGATAGTTCCAAGATAAAACAAGCCATCTGACCATCTAGCTAGGACATCCTGACCCTCTTCAAATTTACATGCTGGCTTTTTGACTTTATGTCCATCCTGTAAAGACAGCTTGGTCAAGGATGTTGGGGTCTTTTGGTTTCGACGTAAAGGAGACCGCTTGTGGACCAGTGAATTACCTGCCCCTGTAGAGTCTCTGATTAGGAATAAAAGACAATATATAAGATTAACTTACTTAAAGAGCTTATTTATACACCAATGATATGTTTTATATATTAATCAAAAATTTTGATTTATTAAAAAAAAACTTAAATTGGGAGAAAATTTAATAGGTACCTCAAAACACAAATACTCTATGGAATAAGTAACTTTAAAGAAAATGATAATTGTTCTCAAAATTCATTCAATGCCTACCCTTACTGAGACAAGGATTCAGCAATCACTCTAAGATCACACATCACGGCACCTAGTATCAAAATAACAGCTCTAAGCTGAAGCGGGTAAGCCATGGTCATCAGCAAAGGATGCCTTAAATCTCATGACCAGGTTTAGATAAACTAAAAAGAAGTTACATGGCACAATTTCATAAGCACATGAAAAAGAATAAAAATAATTATGCCACACATAGTGAAAACACACTAACCAGTGACTTTGGGGTAGTTGGGTATATTCAACTCATTGGAAGAGTAGTCATGACCTCCTTAAGTGAACCACCACTGAATTAAGTCGTTTATTGATGGGAATGTGTCCCAAGTCCCTAAAATATAAAGACTAGGAGTTTAATAAAATTTAGAAACACCATTTGTACAAAATCATACTCAAATGAGAGGTATAACAACATTTATATTTTTTAAGCAAAAGACCCCAAAATTATGTATTCCAAAATTATATTATTATTCATATATTAGTAATTCCATGAACAGCATAGCATAACTACCACCAACTTTTTCTCAAAGGTAACAAAACACTGTTTGGTTTCATTTTCTTAACTTAAGATGCTTTACTAATTAAATACACAGCAATGTATAAAACTAGACAGACAATAATTCAAAAGTAGATAGTATAAAAGTTAAGTAAAAATAAAATAAGTGGGGGAGAAAAAAAATTGTTTCAATACCTAGGAATTGGGACTACCTAATTTCAATACCTAAGAATACACAAATTCTAGGAAATTCTATCATGAGCTTCAACATAAATAAACCTTGAAGATATTAGGCTAAGCAAAAGAAACCAGACCAATAAAAGAATAAATATTGTATAATCCCACTTACATGACATAACCAGAGTTTCACACTCATAGACACACAGGGCAGAATGGTGGCTGCCTAGGGCCAGGAGGAGGTCAGTATGCAGAGTTAGTGTTTAAGGGGTAGTAGAGTTTCAGTTTGAAAGACACACTACAGGGGCGCCTGGGTGGCTCAGTGGGTTAAAGCCTCTGCCTTCGGCTCAGGTCATGATCTCAGAGTCCTGGGATCGAGCCCTGCATCGGGCTCTCTGCTCCGCGGGGAGCCTGCTTCCTCCTCTCTCTCTGCCTGCCTCTCTGCCTACTTGTGATTTCTCTCTGTCAAATAAATAAAATCTTAAAAAAAAAAAAAAAAAGAAAGAAAGACACACTACATTTTTTTCTCTTCAAGTTTTTATTTACATTCCAATTTTAGTTAGTTAACATACAGTATAATGTTAGTTTCAGGTGTGGAATTTAGTGCTTCATCACATACCTATAATAACCACTTCACAAAAAGTGCCCTCCTTAATGCCTATCATCTATTTAACCCATCCCCCCACCCACCTCCTCTCTAATAATGAAAGACATACTACATTTTAAAGATATCCAAAGGAATAATGACTGATATCTTTCCAAAGTTGCTGAAAACCATTAATTACACATCCAAGAAGCTCAACAAACTCCAAGTAGCACAAATGGCAAAGTGACTTACACCCAGAAATACCACAGTAAAAATGCTGAAAGAAAGAAAAATAACTCATTATGTACAAGGAAACCCCAATAAGATTAACTTCTCATCAGAAACAATGAAGGCCAAAAGGCAGCAAGATCCTACACTCAAAGTGCTAAAAGAAAAAACTATCAATGTTATACCCAGCAAAACTGTCAATCTTATATCCAGCAAAACTGCCATTCAAAAATGAAAGCAAAATAATCTAGGATAAACAAAACTGAGAGAATTTGTTGCTAGCACAGCCACCTTACAAGAAATACTAAAGGAAATTCTTAATAAGGTTGAAAGCCAGTAAGCCAACAGAAATATAAATCAACACACACACACACACACACACACACACACCGTAATAAACGTAATTAAGTAATTATAAAAAAAAGTATAAATGCATACTTCTTCTAATTCAAATATATGGAACAATATATGTGTATAACTGAATTATAAGGCCTATAACATATCTGGTAATAACAGCACAAAGGAGGTGGTGGGAACAAAATTGTATTCAAGTAAAGAAATGATACCAGATAGTTACATCAACCCATAGGAACAAATGAAGAAAACCAAAAATGGTAAGTAAGAAAGTAAATGCAAGTGAAGTATGTCACTTCAAGGAACTATCTGGCAAACACCCATCTTAGTCACTGTTTCAAGTAAAAATGGTATTCTGGGCACCTGGGTGGCTCAGTGGGTTAAGCTGCTGCCTTCGGCTCAGGTCGTGATCTCAGGGTCCTGGGATCGAGCCCCGCATCGGGCTCTCTGCTCAGCGGGGAGCCTGCTTCCCTCTCTTTCTCTGCCTGCCTCTCTCTCTACTTGTGAACTCTGTCAAATGAATAAAATCTTTAAAAAAAAAAATGGTATTCCATGAAAAAGCTGTTACTAAAAACAATGACATAAATATCCTATCTATACTTAATATTTCATCACACATGACATTATTAAAACTCAGGGGCGCCTGGATGGCTCAGTCAGTTAAGCAACTGTCCAGGCTCCCTGCTCAGGAGGCTGTGTCTTCCTCTGCCCCTCCCCTGCTCATGCTCTCTCCCTCAAATAAAAAAATAAAAATTTTTAAAAATATATAAACTCAAAATTAGGTAAAAACAATTTTCAGTGTTTCATCAGGAATGTTCTTACATGAAAGAGGGTTTTCTGTATATGAATGCATTTTGGTGGGTTTGGGGTTGGTTTGTTTTTTTACTATGAGTGCTCAACAATGAAGAATACTGCCTTGTTTCATGCTAAGGTGCACAGCAGTTTGACCAAACATCATTTTCATGCAATCTGTACAGACATCGACACAATGAGAAAGGCAAATAACATCTAAGTATTATGAAAATAATTCTGACCTTTCAGACTCCTACAAGGATTCATGGATCACACTGTGGGAACCATGCTCTAGGAGAACATATGTTGCCATATATCTAAATAAAGGGAATGTGTCTGCCATGGACAGCTGTAATGAAAAGGCATTTAGTAGGATCAGGGGTTAAAAGTCTGACAAGAGGGGCGCCTGGGTGGCTCAGTGGGTTAAAGCCTCTGCCTTCGGCTCAGGTCATGGTCCCAGGGTCCTGGGATCGAGCCCCACGTCCGGCCCTCTGCTCGGCGGGGAGCCTGCTCCCCCCCTCCTCTCTCTGCCTGCCTCTCTGCCTGCTTGTGATCTCTGTCTGTCAAATAAATAAATAAAATCTTTAAAAAAAAGTCTGACAAGATGAGTGCTAGAGAGAAGTAAAAATGGAGAATGAATCTACCATTAACTTTACCAACAGGAGTGTTCAATGCCAGGCTAAGAACCTTCTTTCTAAGAATCTTCTTAGAAGGTTAGAATGCATTCTTAGAATGCCTTCATCACAACATTAAAATGATTCTATCAGCAAGCACTTTCTGTAAAACTATAAATCCAGGGGTCACTTGAGGGATTTTGTGTTCCTTAAAGAAACTAACCAAAACCTGAGCAACATAATTAATTATAGGTGAAAAATGACTTCAATAGAATGCCAAGGTGGCTACTGACCTAAAACCTTCCAAATCTAGACTGGAAAATGTACAAAAATCAAAACTGAAAACATTCCTAGATTGGTTTTGTATGCTATGCTATTGCTTCAACAAATTCTCTTTTTCATGACAGACTCCCATCTTACTCTCTTAAAATGTTGTAAGGATCTTTGAGAAAAAAGAGAAAACTAAAATTCCGTGCTCCCTGCTCCCTTTCACCACTCCTATTTCTTTCCTCCCATTCACAGCCAAACCTTTGGAGGAAATTTATACACTCTTAACTCTATTACTATAGTCTTTCCCATTTACTCTCCAGCCCATAGCAACACACATACCATTCCCTCACCCAAACACTTCACCAAAAACAGGATTACGTCTGTCTTACTCTTTTTTCTTTTTTAATTAACATACAATGTATTATTTGCCTCAGGGGTATAGGTCTGTGAATCATCAGTCTTACACAATTCACAGCACTTACCACAGCACATACCCTCCCCAATGTCCATAACCCAGCCATCCTATCCCTCCCCCACACCTCCCAGACATCTGTCTTACTCTTACTCACAGCTGTATCCTCAATGCTCTGCATAGGGCATGATACATAAAAGGCAGAAAGGTTATATGGAACTTATAAACTTCAAGCTCAATTCAAGAAAAATCTATATTTAAAGAGTGAAATTATTTCTAAAAATGACTGCATGCACAAATAGTCTGTTTTGTTCTGAATAAACAATAGACTCTACTTCACATACAACAAATACATACCAATCTTTATTCACATAAACATGAAGAATATAAATCATATATAAAACTGCATTAACGGGTATTTATAAACAGTATTATCCTTTTAAAAATTTCCGTCCAAAGAAACTTTACAAAAAAATAAAGCAAATGACCCGTAATAGCATAACTCAAACATAACCAAGATAAACACTGTATATTTATCCCCTTCCAAGGTAATTTCTCCCATTACTGTCACTGATTACTTCCCTCCTCTCTAGAATGTGACCTTTATTAGAAGCCAAATTAGTTTTTCTAATTTTAGAATTTATTATTTCCCTTCTGATTAAAGGTAAACATAAGATAGTAAAATACAGAAAGAGTGAAAAGTGAAAATTCCCCATCATACTTTCTCCCACAAAAGAACTGTTAATCTCCTGACTTTTCTTTTGTATATACCACATACACAGACATAATTCACATAAAATGTTTTAATTTAAAGAGTGGAATATTACATATACTGTTCTCT